TAACTACCAACAACAAACAGAACACCACTCAGTTATCCCATGCTGACCAATAATAATATACTATGAAAAACCTGAGAGGAGAAATGCTCAAAAGGATCAGAGAGCTTCTGTAAAGTAAAACAATATGGATCACAAGTTACCTACAAATGAATGAGATTATCTCTTTTGTTTGGTGTGCCCATTCCCATTTCTGTCTCATATGCATTTCCACTGTAGAGGGCCATAGTAGCAGTGGCTTACAGAGAGCTGGAGCTGCAGGCATACCCTGTATGCACAGTCACATGCGCAGCCATCTTGTGCCCCCAATCCGGAGAGATGTAATTCTCTTTGTGTGATAATGGTTCTGAACATGCCCGAGACAAGAGTGAGGAATCCTTGGGGGAATTTGAGAGATGCTTAACCCATTCCAGCTCACAATGTTTTAGTCCGTGTTTTAGCAGAGCTGCTTGCTGGGTAATACAGGGGTTCAATGTGGGGATGAGAGACCCCAACATATTATTCAATAATACTACAGGGGTCTATACCACAGTGAACCTATAGTACTATAGTGTAATCATACAGAAGCTACACTCTACTCCTGGAAAATTTGACATTTGATTAATTGTTTACGTAATTTATCAAGCAACAAACGAAACAATTGGAAACAATCAATGGTTTCAGGTTTAGTAGAGTGTATTTACTGCTTTTTCTGTTTATTATCATTGTACATTTAATAGCTTTGGTTTTGGGACAAAACAAGCAATGGGAACTTAAAAATTATCCACTTCTGAGTGCCATCTGGTACAATTAAACTCAACTCAACTAGCAGGGAGTACAGATATAAAGATATCACAGTCTTGAAAATGTAACTAAAATCCCATGACTAGAGCACTCAGTAAATAGCACTGTGTACCTCTCACATATGGGAATCTCTGAGAAGAAAGGGTAACGCTTGTGCAATGTCTAGCTTCAACCCGTCTCTTTACCGCTCATATCTGATATGGGCCCAACCTAATCCATGCAGTCAGATAGATCTGCAGCAAATTCAGTTGCAAACAGGTAGAAAATGCACATGTTTATTATTACTTTGCGCCCACTGGCTCTGTTTACACACAGCAAAAGACTGGCATCAGTCATATATTTTTAACAGAGTGAAAATTAATCTAATAAAGCTATTTTTCATCTCAGTGGGGGCCACACTTTAACCCATAGTATTTAGTGTGGTTGAGGCGCTCTCTACTTTGTGTAACAGTTAACAGGCTGCCTGATTCCTATTTAAGAGCTCATTTGAGCTTGCTAGCTTCTGACAGCCCAGGCATTTATCACATGGTGCCACATTGTAATAGAATTCTATTCAGAAAAGATTATACTCACGCTTTCTGATGATAATTTTCACCATCTTTGACAGCAGAGCCTTTTTTCCCCCCTCCTTTCCTATTTCCTGTCTGTACACTTACAAGATTCCTTCATAGACTGATTTTCTTCATCATAGTCCCCCAGAGGGGTTTCACTGATTTGTTTCCCATCTATATTTAACTGTTACCTGGACATTATCTCTGCATGCCAACTGGACAGATGGCCTCTCATCTTGGTCATACAGCTCCGTGCTCTACTTTTTACAGTTCATTTACAGTGGATGAATAGAGAGCCTGTGTCACATCATAACCAGCACAAGGCACTTAAATGTGGTGATGATGCTGCACAGTTCAACACTGATTTGTCATCTTTCACTTACTAAACAGTAATCGGTATTTACCATCCGTCCCACTGTGACAGTAGAGGGTATGCATTTGTGTTGTAGCCTATTGTTGGTGTTTACTTACAAGCTGGCCCTGGTCAAATGCCCTACACAATGTTACTGTACAGCTCCATGCTGGCTAATGTTTTTTTTTTAATTTATACTCCCATCCACATTCTAATTTTGTAATTACTGTGAAATAAGCTCCATTATCATAACAGTGATTTATGATGCCGCATAATGTCTACATTGCAGATAAGTAAGTCACATTTCATGCTACTCCACCGAATGGTGGTGCATGCATGTGCTGCAGTTTTGTAGCCTTGCTGACAGCATATTTGGAATATCAACATTGGCATATTTGGCTTCTGAACACAAAAACTCCAAACTGCAAACTATAGGGATCCATTTCAGCTCACCAAAAGCCAACAGAAAATAGTCTGGTGGCATTTCCAGCATTTACAAATGAGTCAAAATGTCTAATTCCTCGTATTTCACGTTCTGCTATGCATGTGTTGAGTCAGCACGCCAAATGAAGTATTAAAAGAGTTTTTGTGAAGTTTAGAAACAAACTAAGACAGTGAAACCAAGATGAAAATACATTTAATGGTAGATCTGTGGGTAAACATATTTATGAGAGTTGAAAGACAAAGTTATTTCTTTCCTCTTAATTTTCATGACACACTAAAACACAAACAACCACTGTAATCCTTCTTCATATAATGTGTTACAAATATCCACTGGTTTAGATGAGAACTAAAGCTTCTCAATGTCCTTGTACTTTGAGTACCCACTCTGAGACTGAGCTACTGAGTTCAATAACACTCTAAAAATGCCCTAAGAGGAGAGAGCAGATTAACATTAACCATATACTATTATTTAAAGTATCCTCCATTTAATATGCAATTATATATGTAAAGAGAGAGATTTTAAGACATTTTATTCTTTGAACAGTACCAATAGTTCAAAGACAGAACTATTTGATATTTCAAAGCAGTGGATTTGGGTTTTTTTTGTGTTGCTGACGTGTTGCCCCATTCCTTTGTGCCATCTCCTTTTTTTGGTTAGAGCATAAAGAATTATACCTATAATATGTTGTTGTTGATTTACATCACTGTTTGTAACACTCATTTCTTTAAAGTATTATTTTTTTTGGCCTTTTATGCCTTTATTGACAGAGATGGCTATAGAGAGACAGGAAAGGGAGGCAGAGAGAGGGGATGACATGCAGCAAAGGGCTGCAGGTCGGATTCGAACCTGGGCCACTGCGTATAGGGGTTGCCAGCTCTACCGACTGAGCTAACCGGGTGCCTGTAACACTCATTTCTGTCATATCACTATCCTCACACTGTGTATGGTTTATTAAAGGTCTATTAACAGTAAGCCCACCTTAAAATACAAACAACCTTCCATCGCATCTTAGCCTCATTGCTTTCGGAGACTCTTTAAGATTATATGTTAAGCCACCACACCTTACTTTAACTAATGAGACGGCAAAGAATCACTCCCTTTAACAGACAAGCGTGCATAATAACTTGGTGTATGATGGCAGGTTGGACACTGGCTGCTGTGTTGGTGGTGTCTCAGTTAGCAGATTTCTCACCAGGCTGAGTCCCAGCAGACAAGAACAGCTGTCCCTGTCATGGCAGCCCAATGGCCATCTGAAAACAGCCACCTGTCCTCTCAAAACTCCAGGGACTGACCAATGAATTGTCCACTTCTTGAGTGCGTGGATTATGGTATTAGACTAACAGTGAAAAGCAGAGTGGAATCTCCAGGAAGCGGATGATGCTGTCACATGCTAATGAAATGGCCAATGACAAAAAGGTTTACTTCTTTGAAGGAACTAACCCTGATAAGCAGAGAGGAAATAATACAGTGTTGTAGAAATTACTTCTATCTGGCTCCCACAGCCAGATGAGCATGTGGTGACAGTGCACCTAGAGAGTGCCTTACTGACGCATGTGGAAAGATAAATGAGAGAATCCACACTCTTTAAAATTAATTGCAGTCTGCAGTAATAACCTTTCTGCAGGCAGGCACCGTGGGAAGCTGTGGGAGCACAGGGGAGCCTTTTTAGCTGACTGGGGGATTCTTAAGGCGCCTTAGGGGGTGATCCCAGAAACGGTGGCAAATGGCTTTGGTAGCACATGCTGACTGGTGCTGAGACAGGCCAGCTGTTCAGTCTACTTGGCAGCAAGGCATCTCTAAAGCTGAGCAGCAGACGAGTTGAGAGTGCTGAGCTTGGTGATGGTTTGCTCTTCTTTCATTAAGCAGCTACTCAGATCAGCAGCTTTAGTAGTGTATCTACTTGCATGTTGTACTTTTTTGACTAGATTCTGGTAGAAAAGTCTCTTTGTTACCCACCCCTACATTTTTGAGGTGTTAATTTATCCAGTGCACTTTTTTTTATCCTTTTGAAGATGTAGCAACCCACACACCCATTACGTCAGCTAATCTGTTCCTCTGCTTGTCTGCCGGGGGCCCTTTTTCTCTGCCCTCTTTCACCCCCACCTTCCCTCTTTCATTCGGGTGGGGTCTCTAGAGCTCTGCCTCCATTCCCTGGAGGTCATCCTTTTCCATCTCCTCCTCGCCACAGACGGTGGGCAATGTGGCAGCCTTGCAGCTCAGCTCATTATCGCCCACGCTGGGCCCACAGAGGGCATGGCACTGTGGAACACGGCTAGGCTCTTCACAGCCAGCTGTCAGGGCTTTCCTGTCACTGAACTGGGGAGGCTGGGGTTCCTGTCTCTTTATGGACCGTTCCACAGCAAAAACCCATTCGGCCGAAGATATAAATTCGGCTTGAAGGAGCTAAGAAGATATGGACACCTAGTTTGTTGCTGCCCAAAGGAAACCATGTATTAATCAAAGTCTTCTTTGAAAAAATACTTCTTAAGCTACTGTAAAAAATCACACCTGAAAATAGTTTTTCTTAGCTCGTGAAAAGTTGAGGTGTTTGAAATATAGGACAGAAATATGCCAATCCTCTACTCGTGACAAAATAAATGCCGTTGTCTTAGTTTTGTCTGAGGGGGGCCCCCAAAGTGTCAGACTTTGAAAACCCCTTGTTTAGAGGACTTTGACAGTGCTTGCTTTCTGTTTTTGGAAAAGTGAAGTGTGTGTTTGGTGTCTGTTCAAACATCAATTAAATTCTATTTTGTAGTAAACTGCTGCATTAAACGACATGAGTATGAGCCAGCATCCTACCTCACCGCCACTGTCCTCCCTTCAAAATAAATTAAGACAACAAAGCTGTCAGCCACACGCCACATTGACTCACCTTCTCCTGGTACTGCCGTCGAGATGAGTCTAGAGACTGGATTAGTGCGGTGGCGTGGCCCACAAACATGGCGTAGCAGGTAGCGCCCACTATCATGCTGAGGATGGTCAGCCACACGTCTGTCATCCCCACTGGGGGGTACATGCCATACCCAATACACAGCATGTGGCTCATAGCTTTGAAAAGTGCGTAGGAGTACTGCTGTCCCCATGTGTCATTCTGGATGAAACAGAGAAGATGGGGTGAGTTAGAGTGGGTACATTGGAAGACTTTCTATCTTGCTCACTATCTCTCTCTCAAAAGGGTGTTGATAGCACATTAAAGGTCAAGGAGCATCCTGACAGCTCACACACATACACACACACATCCAATTACTTAAGACAAAACTAATGGCAGATGTCCATTTCAAGCCGTCTTAGTTCAATAAAGAGCAGCTGGCTGGGTAAAACATACTTTTCAAAATGCAAACATTTGGTGCAAGCAGACATTTGGGCAAGAGCCTAAAACAGAGCCCTGAGAATGGGCGGATGGAGCGTGAGACACTGGAGGCTTGCATGACAGTAAGTAGGTCAGCTATTTAGAAAAATGTGATTTCTCTGTGAGTTTTCTCATTTGTAGATAAATTGCCCCTTTTCCTTTAGATCCCGTTGGTAGTTCATGGCAAATCAATATCAACTCTCTCCTGGGGGTGACACGTCCAAATTGCTTTCAAACTCATTTCCACAGCGGAAAAGCCGAGAGAGATAGCAATTTTATTAGTGCCCTCCTGAAAAGGTAAGGAGCGATGACCCAGCAAGATAATGGGGCAGCTACTGTAAAAGAAGACAAAAAATGTCTCCTAATGATTCCACTCAGAACCAAAACAACCGTGACTGAGTCGATACTAACAAACTCTTTGTCTACCAGGTAATGTCAGCAAAACATGAGGAGCTTTCCATCAGAGAGGTGCCTTCCCCCGAGGCTGGAATTAATTCAGAAAGATATATTTGTTATTCTGTCACATTGAGATGCATTCTTCTACGTAATGCAATTAATTAGACAGTGTTTACTGTGTGAAACACAACAAACTCCATTTTGATGTTAATGAGAGGCTACATCCCTCACACAGGATTTTAGACTAAGTACATTATGAGTGCTCTTCCTCAGATCTCAGGGCCTCTGCACAGGGCTGTTTTTGGAGCCGAAATTAGAGGAATCAGCCTGTAGAAGCTCTGTGGAAGTTTTGGAAACAGGGCTCTGAGCTGCAACAACATAAGAAGTAGGAAATGCCTAAATATAATCGAGTCATAACTGCCTGAAATTTTTGTGACAAGGCATTTGGCATGTGAACCCATATTCCTCAGTCACTGAGATGGAGATATTAAAATGGAATACTGGACTTTTAGGTTTTAATGGAAGTAAATGAAGGTAAACATAGAACTTGGTATTAATAAGAGAGTAAAGGCAATATTTCTCTAAAATTTGAACATATAACAGATTAGATTTCACTTGTTTAAAACACAGGATGGCAAATGTGTCATATTGCGTGTCATATTGCTCTGCCGGACTATTTAAATCTGCCTTTCTCTGTTGTGGCTTTGTGTATCGTGCAGTATTATTTCTGCTTCTGCAATGTATATACGGTTCCAATACAGCATGTTTTGAAGGTATGAAACTAAAAGATTAGTAAAGCAATCATGACCTTGTTTTCACTGCTCTAGAATACGACATCAAATCGAATCTTAATCCATACATACTGTATTGTACCTTAATGATGAGCCACAGTTTACACTATGTTGCCTGACAGCACAGCCTTATGTAATTTAAGATAATCCCCTTTCTACTGGACTCGAACTAGTGGTATAAGGCATCTTCCTTCACAACCGTCTTCATGGTAGTGAAGGAAACAGAAATTTAAAAGTAGAAGAGGAAATGTTAAAGGTTTGGATGTAACCATTTAAAATCCTTGAAGTCTGAATGTATATACCTATTTTTTGTCTTAATCCAGATAACTGAAAGACAAAGAGGTTGGTTAAAATGGAAGGTTGGTCAAAGAGGCGGCCTACTGGTTGCTGGTTTGATCCCCAGTACTGACACTGTACCTTACCTGCGTGCGTGGTAGTTCTGCACAGACAGGTATGGAAGACAAGCTAAAATTAGCTTAAGTGTGAAACATCTCAAGGGACAGTGGTTTGCAACATCTGTCGTTTCTTATGATTAAATATAACAAGTGAGCATGTCAGTGAGGCAGTGAGGCATGATGAACCAAATACATCATACCTTGAGCGATGTAACTACTCATGTGACATCTGCTCTGGCACGGAGAGATGAACATACAGCTGACTAAAAACTGGTTTGTGTAAAACTCAAGCTTGGCTCCCTTGAATTTGTTTGCTTTGTTCTTCACAGTTTAAAAACACATTTATTCTGGGCTTTTTATCTGTCGTCTTTCTGATAATTAATAAAGCATTCTGTCTGTTATTTTAATGATTAAATTATTTTCAAAATTATAAATCTCACAATTGGGAATTGTAAGAAACAATAACTGTGGTATTTGTATGGATACTAAACAGATGAATGCAGTAAGTTGACAAAGACAAACCTGCTTCATGACGCCAATGTCGCCAATACATCTAGCCATCCAGGAAGCTTTTATTCCATGTGGACATCTTTCAGTTTTTCACTGAAATTGGTTGCCACACGAAAAGCCCAAACAATGCCCTATTGACACTTAAATCCAAATGTATATTGATAAGCCATCAGTTAGGCAACCGCTCTCCTTGGCTACATCCCTTAAGGGTTAAATATATGTTGATTTATTGGTTATACTGACGAGAGAGGAATTCACTGATGTCAGATCAATCCCCACTGAGGTCCCCACCACAAAACCTGACAATAACACACTCTTGAATAACACGCTAAGTTAACACGAGGCCATCGGCTAGGGGTGATTCAGAGTCGCACATCAGGTGTGACACAGTCCGCTTCCATAAGCAGATAAAAGAGAACTCTATTATGAGCCAGGCCTTAACAGAGACTCTACTCCAGCAGCTGTTTTAACAATACAACAAAATTAAAGCGCAGCATGAGTGCTCACTGGAAACTGTCAATATTCAACCAATATTGAAGGGCCGTCTGTCCTCCTCAGAAAATCAATGTTCCCTGCACAGCCCCAGTGTCTCTCTCCTTTCACAATATGGACAGATGTCGAGGGCTCCAAATAAATAAAAATAATCAGCAAATTGAATAAATGTGGGCAAATGTAGCAGATAAATATATTTGATTTAGGGCTTAAAATGACAGATATGCGAGGCAATCTTTCCCAGGATGCTAAAGGGTTTTAGTGCAGTAATTACTGAAGCTGATGGATGAGATAAGACAGGGCATAATCTGGTTCGAACAGGCAGGAGGACTCGGAGCAGGAGAAGCACTTACCACCATCTTATTTTTGGACACCCAGCAGTCGGCGGGGAAGTCCTGCAGCATGGGCACCAGGAACTGCAGGCAGCCATCCCAGTGACACAGTAGCAGCATCATGCCGATCAGGTTGACAATCCTCACCATGGCGCTGGCAAGGTCATAGGTCATGTGGAAGATCTGATGGGTTGGGGGAGGAAGGAAGCAGGAAATGGGTTAGGGTAGAATGACTCAACACGCTGATGGTCAAAATCCCGGATATACAGCGAGATTGCAAAGCACGCACACACACGCACACACACACACACACACACACACACACACACATCCTCTAGGGAGATTTTCTTCCTCCGCACGCAGTTCAGCGACTTCTGAGTCTATTCTTTCATCACGTCATGAACAGGGTTTGTGGTTTAGGACTTAGTTGACAATGTACTTAGCCTGTAGAAACCTTAGCTTTATACAGTGCACACAGATGAGCTGGTGGATGCAGATTGCTGCTGTTGTGAGAATGGTCCACAGGGGATGGTCAGCAGACTGGGACCGGAGATTTACCTCCCCGACTGCTGAATCGCTCTTATCATCAGCCACTCAGCATAACACAATAATGGTACAGGGGTAGAGGTGGCTGCGCTCCTGGGGTGAGAGCGTTCAGACTGGGTTTGTTAATCCTAATGATAAATATACTCATAAGGCGCTCCAGGACTTCTGGGCTGGTGTAGATTTTAATGGCCTCAACCATTCAAAGCCTCTTAATCCCTTTGAAGACCACGGTGTGCAATGCTAACCACTCCAGTCCTTATTAAAATCCACTCAGTGCCTTTTAAGGGCTTGTGACTGAGAGGGGATATTCCATCTTCACTTTGTTGTTCAGAAAGTAAGTGGTGATGATGAGGAGGAAGATGAATACATATACAAACTTTTCATCTGCTTGTTCCTAAGGCACTGGGCTTGTTGCTTTTTCTTCCACACAAGCGTGAGTGTGTATCTGTGTATTTTTTCTGTGTTCGTGTTAAGAAGGAGGTTGGCAGGGACCACCAGTCTGGTGTTTGTGCCGCTGCACCATCAAATCACATCAATTTAGCTCCGTCAACAGGCTAGAATGAAGCCAGAGGTATGCCCAGGAAAATGTGCATGGGTGAGAAGCGGAGCCAGGCTCTCTCTCAGAGTACGGAGGCGTTCCCGCTCACACACTCTCTGTCTGTCCACACAAACATTGCACACTGAAACTCAACACGTCTCTCTCCCACTTTGTCCCTTCCCTTCTTTCTTTGGGCTCTTGTTCAAAATGTTTAGCCTTGGGTCCTTTCACATCACCTAAGCTGAATCATCTGCCCAGCTGCAACTTCTCTTTTTTTTTTAACCCAACAAATCCCCTCATTTTCCACACTTCTGTTCACAGCTGCATGTTGTATGTGAGCTATTGTTTGCTTGTTTGTTTAAGTCTTTTGTTTAAACACAGGGATAAATAAGTTATGTTATCTAATATGCAATGTTGTGCGATGTCAGATTTCCTGCTGGAGCCGTAATGGCATTCCATAACATTGAAGTGTTAAATTCACTCTGTGGTGAATGAATAAATCATGAGGTACCCCCTCCATCTCCCACACTGAGCTTGATATATTTTTCATTTGTGAATTTGTATTTCCAGACAGGAAAGGGAAGCTTTATAAAACAGACACTGCTTTTAAATCTCGAAAAACTTGCTAAGTAATATGTGCATTTAAATACAAGCAATTCTTGGGACATTAAGGATTGACAAAGATATAAAGTATTCAGGCGTACAGTATATTTTAAATTATTCATTATTATTTGAGATTCTGGCATAATTACAGTTCCACATTACATTTGCCCTCAGACTGTAACAAACTGACTGAAGTATATTGAAGTATATTTTGCCAGGAAAACTAAATCTGTGTACCTTTATCTTTAAGCATAATGCCACACTGTAGAAGCAGGATGTTTATATTTTAGATATAAAATGTCAAATGTTTTAATGGATTTGTTTTTTCCAAATTAGTTTTATTTTTGCATTGCTCTGACAAAAGGACAAAGGACAAAAATTAAAGGCAAACTACACTACACAAATTTCCTCCGTCAATACATCCAGGAGCTAACTCGTCATGTGTCATGTCATGTCATGTCATGTGAAAACAGTTATAAAATGCTATAAAATGTGGCTTTTTAAAGAGAAAATAACTCTGATGATGTCATAGTGATGTCATCAGGGTTATCTCACCTTGTGCTTGGAGACATCTTTAACTAAAGCCTGTTTTACAAACTGGAGGCTTGTTTACCAGGTAGAGAGGGTCTAATTAATCTTTCATTTTATTTTCAGCATTGTGTATTGTTTTTTTATAGAATAATGAAATACTCTATCAGGTTGCATTATGGGAAATGTAGGAGCCTTAATTTGGGGGCATGTAAAAATTCAATACATCTCTGCCTCAGCATTGATTTTGACCATTCTTTTTTAAATATGTCTCTTTTGAGTTTCCCACCCTTATGGAAATACAACACTAAATTGCTGGATTACCTCTTTGTAAAAGCACCATTATTAGTTTTGAGTTTCATAAACAGGTGTTAATTATCTGCTGTCTTCAGTGTTTCATTCCCTCTGTGTAGAATGTCCTTGAACCTGTCAATATACTGAATACTATCAAACTCTACAGTGTCAGTTTCTATCTGAAGCAGGATAAATTCCTTTCAGTATCTCGTGGTGCAGCCTGAATGAGTCATTACTGTTCAACAATAACTCCTGATACATTCCTACTGTAGATGTGCCCTCAAAGACCTCTAGCACTTAACCACTGTGTGGAGAATAAAGCCTATAAAAACTGTCACAGGTAATGCCATGCAAATCTCCAGTTTGTAACCCAAACTCTACTGTCACTGGAGGAAGGTGATTCCCCTATCTCTCTTCACAGCTGCAATCAATTTAAATACACCCATGCCGAGCAGGAACAGACTTTCCAGTTACGAAAAATTGTTCCCGAGATTGGTTCTGTTAGAAGTTTGGATCATTATTAAAAGGATCATTATGTTGCGGCAAAGGAATGACTTCTCTGTACCTCTCCTCCCTCTCCCTTCTTTTCTGTCTTCTCTTGTAAATTAGAAAATAGCCACATACAGCAGGACATCGGTGCTTCCTGTAATGTAACAAAGAAACATGTACTGTGCTAAAAACATGCAAACATTTAACACAGTTTTTGCACACACTGCACTCCACAACATGGCGTATTACATGGAGGATGATTGATTGCTGACCACTTTCTTTTAATTGATAGGGACACAGAGTGAGCCTGGCAGTATTAGCATCAGCATAAACAAGAGAGCTTTGATTGATGAGGGCACAAAGATGCAACACAACAGTTTCTTATGGGGGGCTTGTTGTAACTCTTACTGCCCTCATTAGGACTCTCCATATGAGACGCCTTGCTGATATCTGCTAACCTTTTTTTAATCAAAAACATGGGTCAGATCACGTGAACCACTTTAAGTGAACACCAATGTAGTGGTTTCATTAATCCAACTAACTAAATGGCAATTACATGGTTGTAAGCACTGAGATGGAGGCTGTAATTTATAAACAGTAATCGTGTGGTAAAAGGAAGCACTTTAACCACAGTCAATGTTACAGGACATAACATAAAAAAAAAGTGAAATTAATATTACTAAATTAATACTAGAAATACTATGATTACCACACTCTCTTACCATGCTGACTACCACTGCTGTCAACTAAAACTATACTAATACTAATACCAGTAGAGTAAAACAAACAAAACTCACACTGTTTTGCATATAAATGCAACTAAGCCACATTTTAAGAGCAATTAACTTGTTCTATTCCACAATGCAAGAGATAGACCAACATCTTTCAACTGCATATCACAGACACATACAATGGGGTAAATAAAAACCAATAACCATGACAGGGGTCAAAAACGGGGTTACGTGTTAAAGTCATCAACTAATTCGGACCCTTGTGAGCCAGCGATCAGGCCCAGACAGCACAGAGTGGATGAAGGCAGCTGCCGAGTCATCTCAAACAGATGGAGTGAGAAGAGCGTGAACCAGGTGAGAGAATAGATGCATATGTCCCATGGTGCTGATGGTAGCTGCCCAGACACAGTTGATGTAGCACTATACTGAAGCATCTGGTGTTTGCTGCTCGCTCTGCTAATGATGATGAATGTTTGGCATGATGGCGTCTCGACACATAAGAGAAAAAAAACTTCACTTGTATGGTTTTTTTTATGCCATTTTGCTGACCGAACCTTAACACATGTAAATCAATCTGTCTCAAATTGCCATCCCAAAACCCCCTCTGCACTGCTGTGCCATGTGACATGCTTTATTTAAAAAAAGCAGTTTAATTTGCTTTGATTAGTTAATATGTAATGATGGACATTTTATTTTATCACACAGTTCTGAGTGAAGTACAATCAAAAAATCATCAACTGGCCACCTCTCCAATTAAATAAAGTCTTTTTTTTTTAATGCACTAATGAATGCAGTCATTTAGTCATTTATTAATAATCATTTTAGTGATTTCTGGTTCTGAGGATCTAGCACCCGTACACACTGGAGCCCAGTGTGTTCATTCATTATCATTTGTCTGTACTAAAAAGATATGGTTTTAAATATAAACATGAAAGCATGAGCTGAATCTTATTGATCAGTTTTAAACACTAATTGTTGTGAGTTTTAGCATCATACTTGAAATATTATGAAATAAAATTTTCACTCATTTCAACTTGTAATTTAATAAATACACAATCCAAAGATTTCCGATGGATATATTGGTTATGTTATTATCACCTCTCTTTTCTATAGAAATACTGCTGTATGTTTTATGTTTACTAGGTGCAATTAAAACAAACCATGCATGTCTCAGTGTTATTTTTAATCATCCAAGATGATGACAGATTCTGGAAGCAGGCTGTGGGCAGAGGTTAGATTTCTCACTATAAATGCCTTCGACCAAAATGTCATGCTCATGCATGCTGTCATGGTGGACGAAGCACACATGGAGAATGAGAAGTAGGCCAGGGAGTGGACCACTGGGAACACCCTTCCATCATCTGTCTGAACAGGCCTGGAGGGCTCGGATCACAAAAAGCACTCTCACTCTGCTCCCTACCAAGATGCGCCATTGGGTTTATGCAGGATTACAC